CACTGGTTGAATAATAATAGGCGCAACTACAAGACGTTCGAGGCTAACGGACTCGGTGAAATAGACGATCTCACTAACCTGTCGGAGTGGAGGTACATACCGACTAGTTTAAACGTGGCGGATGTAGCTACAAGGAAGTCTTTTAACTATGATTCTTTTTTAAAGTAATGGCTGAGGGGACCTTCATTCCTGTACGCTGACGAAGCATACTGGCCGCTTAATATTTTGAAACCTGTGAACGAAGACACATTTAAGGAATGCGTAAATATTATAGAGGTACTACCTGCGAGTCGGCCAGTTCCGGATCCGGAGCGTTTTTCTTCGTGGTTACGGTTTCTGCGAGCTACTGCCGCAGTATTTAAATTTATAAATAAATAATAAACTTAATAATAAACTTACCTGTGACGACGAATGCTTTTGTTGTGTTAGTGGAGTGGGTGGAGCGCCTGATCCTGCAACAGGCGCAAACCGAGTCGTTCAGCGGCGACATAGCGGTCATCAGGGCGGGTAAGTGTTTGCCACGCGACAGCAGGCTACTCGCTTTGTCTCCTTACCTGGACGCCGACGGTGTGCGCGTTCAACGTGCCTCTGGAAACGAGGTGGCCGGTCATACTCGATGGACGGCATCCGACAGCGCGCCTTATAGTTAAGCACTACCATACTAAAGCTGCTCATGGTGGTCAGGAGGCGGTCGTCAATGATGTCAAACAAAAGTACTGGATCATTCGATTACGATCAACGGTAAAAAATATAGCGTCCCGTTGCATGTTGTGTCGTTTAAGAAAGGCAAAACCCGAAGTTCCTCGAATGGGTGATCTTCCTGCGGCGCGTGTGGCGCATCATTAGCGACCTTTTACCTATTACGGTGTAGATCTATTCAGCCTTATGGATGTCGCTGTAGGTAGGCGTATAGAAAAGCGATATGGTGTCTTATTTACCTGTCTCACAGTTCGTGCGATACACATAGAACTTGTGCATTCGCTCACCTCGGATTCTATGATCATGGCGCTTCGACGTATGGCGGCACGACGTGATTGGCCGCGATGTATTTTTTCAGATAACGGTACCAACCTTAGAGGAGCTAACATGGAGCTGCGGCTGTCGAAGAGATTGACAATGAAAATTTGAAAACGGAAGCGGCAAATAACGGAGCACACTGGAGTTTTATTCTACCGGCTAGCCCGCATTGGGGTGGGGCATGGGAGTGATTAATCCGGAGCGTCAAAACATCCCATCGTGTGATACTAAAGGAGCGGGCCCCCAAGGACGAAGTTCTTGCCACCCTTCTAGCAGAAGTGGAGAGTATGGTGAACGGCCGCCCTTTGACCCACATGTCGGTAGAACCCGGCTCGTCTGAGTCGCTGACACCTAATCATTTTCTTTTAGGTTCATCTTCAAATTTGCCTACAGTAGGAGCTTTCGACGATTCAGACATGTTTCTAAGCAAGCAGTCGCGGAAAGCACAGCGCCTAGCCGATATGTACTGGTAGCGTTGTTTGAAAGAATACCTTCTGCAACTGTTGCCCAGAAACAAGTGGCAACAAGAGCGCAGGTCGCTACGCGTCGGTGATCTCGTGTTGGTCGTGGACCCAACCGCGCCTCGCAATGTGTGGCCGCGCGGCCTCGTGAAGAGCGTAGTACCAGGCAAGGACGGTCGCATCCGGCTTGTAGAGATTCGCACCGCCACCGGTGTGTTACTCAGCGGCGCGTGTCGCCCCCGTCTCTATAGTTGATGAGTGCTAATCCCGCACTGGGGTGGGGAGCTGTTAATGACGCGCTCACATTTACATAAATATTAGCCTTTTTATTTGTTATTTTTTGTAAAAAATGTTGCGGGTGTATTAACTTAAGGTACATACAAAAGCGATCGGTCGTCCAGCGCCCTTTGCCTGCGGCCAGCAGTCTGCACGCATCTCGCGAAACGACCGCACGTAATTTTTTATAATATATTTTATGTTTTTTTTGTAATTTCTCTAAACGGTGATAAAACTGTGTGCCTTTGTACGTAGTTGTATTATTGTATTATTGAAGAGGAATCCTAGTAGCTTACACTTAGTTTGCCGGATTGAAATGATGACGTATGCGTGTTTTAAAATATTTTTTAATATGTTCAGCGCGTTCTACTATTTCATAAAATTATTTGACTTGCTAAGTATAGTAAAATTTTAATTCCCCATTCTTATAAGATTGTTTATCCAAATGCAAATACAATACATAGTTAAATTTAATAATACAAAACTGACCTCACCTATTTCTGCCGCCAAGCAATAACGTCAGCATTACTGTGTTCCGGTTTTGAAGGGTAAGGGCGTTGGTGAAATTACAGTCACATGAGACTTATCAACTTAAGTACCAGGATGACGGGCGCATTAACAGTGTCCCTCAGATCTTTGCGATTTAAAGCTCTGAGTGGCACTGCAATTGTTATGGACAGGCGTGTAGCTTACCATCAGGCGCGCACGACTTGTTCGTCCCGTCACTTAATATAATTATTAAAAATTAAAAAAAATATTAAAAACTCGTTGTAAAAGAGTTTGTTACTACGTTTCAACTAAGGAATTAATAAATATAATATTCTTGTCCCTGCTATGTGACAGAAAGGCGAAAAAGAGGTCACCATTTTCAACCCTTTTTTGCCTTTATAAATATAAATAATATCCCATCTATATATACGTAATATCTCGCATAATTTTTTACTTTAGCAAATATTTACAATCCATTTTCCAACGCAATTTTTCAACATTTCCGGTACGGGCTTTTCCCCTTTGCGAAAAATAAAATGAAATGATAAACATTACCGTCCGGATTATTGAATTACTCTCATGCTCTTCAAATCCTTGTATTGAATTACCAGAGTGAGAAATATTTCATCGGACTTTTTCTATAAAAGCATATTTTCAAATATTTTGTCGCTTGTAACTTTTTTACACACCGATCATACTCCGTTGACTCAACGACCCGAAGTGTGTTTTGGCTTCCGATACGAATTGGCGCCAGCTGCCTTCTGCGATCTCCTCCCAGTTCTCTGTGATCATATTAATCCAATCAAAGTGTAATAATTATTAATACAAAGATTTCCATCTTTGTCATTGACTTACAATTATATGGAGGACGGGTCTAATACAAAAACTACGAAAAAAATGTCCCAAGTCAACCTATTTAAACGTAGTGACATGTAAAGGAATATGAATAAGCTAAAACGTTGAATTTAAATTGTAATGTCATCGCAGTACTGTCTAATTTTGCTTGCTTTGCTGTCAGTCGAACAAACGAAGACTAAAGCGTGAATGACGCTCTGTATACGATTTTAACGCCCTATAAGTTCGGACACTTTTTAGCGTGGACCCGACGTCCATATAATTGTAAGTCAATGATCTTTGTACTCCATTTTTCCACATAGAAAAAATTCCTTCGATCCGGCCGGTTTCAAACCGACGCGCGACGTCTCCTAGCAAACCGCGCCAGACGCTATGCTAAACCACGGAACGAATCAGCGGACCTCACGAAGTTTTCAATGTGCTTGTTGTCGGATCTTTGTTTGGTTTTCAACGACTTTTTAGCGCCATCTATGAGAAATCTATGAAAGTATTTCGTCACCTAGTTAGGTACCTTTACAGTATCTTATACTTTACAGCCCTGGTTAGCGATGTCGCTTTTAACTGTAATTATTTTTTGTATTGAATGTCAGAATGTTTCATCACCATGATATTCAATTATTTTTTGTGAAATTGCTCCGCTAGTTTGTTATAATTTGACGACACACGTCAATTGTTTCGGGCTGTCCAATCGGGCGGCACAGTTGTCACCGTAATGATTTGGCAAAGTACTTTTCAAACAAATTAAATGACATTTGTCTGTATTTCTGGTTATATACTCGATGGATGAAATGAACGAATGTCATCGTTGCTATTCCACTGATAGTGTCAATAGACTGCCATTGCAACTTGATTTTAGCGGAATAATAAATATTGTCCTAATTGCAATATAGTCTCAGTGTAATTACAATGACAATCGAAGAATATTAGCTGAATTGGAGCCCCAGGACATGTGGGCGCTCGATGAGAAGATTAATGTAGAAATCGAATGAGGCCAATTTAGAAATCGATATTTTTCAAATTAATTGTGGTGTGGAAGTCCTGGATAGTATACGGTATACCTTTTGAGATCCGATAATTGGTGGGATTACCATCTAATTACTGCGTCTGTGGCCAAATGGTTACCATACTGGAATGTCACACAGAGGTTCCGGGTTTGATTCCCAGGCCTGGAGAAATATTTGTATGGCCTATATTTATTTCTCTCGTGAGTTTGGGTGTAATTTGTGGTTGTCTATGTGTGTGTTTATGACACCCGCGACACCGGGTTTCCCTAGTGCTGGACTATGAGTGTGTGCGTTCTAAAAAAAAATACAGTAATACCCCGCTTTGCAGAACCCCGCATTTCACGATTTTGTTATAACGCGTTTTTCAAAATTCGCGCTAAATTACCTCGCTTTACGCGGATGCACTGATTTAGCCAATGTGAACTCATAGCTTCTCAGTTACTAAAAGTGCATTGGTCACAGGTACTTCTTTCTTGATACGTACTATAATTTATAATCACATTGGTACTGTCTGTTATCCAGGGAATTGTAAAAGATAATTTTTACGAACAATGACGCCACACCGGCTAAGAAAAAAGGCGAAAGATAGGAGCGTTCGAATAGCACGTTCGATATAATATTTAGCTTTTTACTCGCGTAAATCGGGGTATTACTGTACATTAAAACTAAACTTCTAATGGCTTTAAAAAAATCATATTTCGGTTTCAATGGTTTCAAGCAACTTCCGTGAGAGGATGAAAATGCTTTTAAGCGTCCTTTTTCAAATCTAATCAGACTGTGACTTTTTAACAAACTTATTTTAATAATTGCTACTAAAGTTTCTATATTAGACTAAGATGACTTAACAGCGTATAGTGTACAATCTTGCTTGAATATAAATGCCAATTTTTCATTGCAGGTACGTCCCAAAAATACAAGAAAATACACTGTCCGATTCGAGGAAACTTCATTCGCGGGCCCGAGCGCGAGTTCCGATCCAATTGAACATTGGAGCGACAGATCTTTTATCGATCGACCAATCAAACCTTCGCGAAGTTGTGAAGTGTTTACTGTGTATACGCCGCATCGAAGATACGACTAAAGTATTATCGTATTTTTCTCAGACTCAAAGATGGTGGAATCGTCATTTGGACTCTACTATAGTCGGTCTAAGGGTAAATTAAATTAAACTTGGCCCCACTCGTACCGTCATCGACGTAGCAGTGGGACTAGGGGTGTTGTTACGCAAAACTCTCAAAATGATTAATAGTACATTATGATACAAGTGTGCTAAGTTGGTCATTACACACGAGGCGTTATTACTCGCGCGAGCCGCAGGCGAGCGCGATAAGAAAGCCGAGAGTGTAATGATCAAAGCACACGTGTTTCATACGACGTTTTTCAACACATTTGCGAGGAAAATGAAACAAACTTGAGTAAAATGGAAATGAAAAATAGCTTTATTTGGCATTAATTAAAAGTTTCATATGCAGCCATGTATTTTTCTCTGGATTTCGAAGGTAATAAACTGTCACTTGCGTTTTGTGCCTCTGTGAGGATTTCGGGCGGTGTTAAATCCATCAAAATGTTTTCTTCCGTGCTTGAGCAGGACATTTTAAACACCTAGGTAATTATCTAACACACAGCGTATATAAATGTTTCGAACGTATCAATGGAAATTGGCGCGTTGAGTTATTTTTTCTGCGCCTGGCGCCGCGGTGCGGATATGCGCGCGCAGGTGCTTCGGCAATAATGAGACTTAGGTGAAATTCCTAAACAGCCAATGCGAAATAATATAAATATGTCCTTATTTCACTCAAATTCGTGTAAAATATTATCCAAAATAAGTAATTTTATTCAATTAAAGTTTTATAGGTGTATATTGTGTATGTTTTTCTATATTTATCACATCAAATAAGAAATATAAATTTATTAATAAAAATATTATTTGTAAGGTAAGACTACACAACCGTATTAAACAGAAATAAAAAAAAACTGTGACCCTGTTTGTTTGGGATTACTGTCATTGTAATTTGAATCTTATAATATGTAGGTTAGAGCTGTTTTTTTAATAGACCAAGTTAATTTCAAAGACATAACCCGGATAATTTAAGAATGCATAGTTTTAATACATAGGCCTTGTTGTGAGATACATCTTAATCCGGTTAAGCCTATACTTATTACACACACGTTTTGTAATATAATTACAAACGCGTGTTCAATAGCTAGGTTTATGAGCCTAAAAGCGATACAATAAGAAGCCCGTTACGAGCAAATGTGTTGAAAATATAATTATTAAATTTATGTGAAAATGATGTAAGTGTTGAGGGATAAAGTAACAAATGAAAAAAAAAACAGATATATCCTCGTATGTTTGGAGTATAGATTTATATAGACATAGATATTATTAAGTCATAACACATTACAAGAAACTTCTTAATTTCAGGCAAATTTTATTATTTATTTACTTATGATAATTATAGGAAATGAAACTATTTTTCTGGATTTAAATCGCGTATATTTGTTTTTTCAAACAAACCGACGTTTCGGGCCCTTTACAGGTCCCATGGTCACGGTTGACTGAGGTGGTACAGTCTTCAACCAGTTATGCCTAATATTGATGCAAACCACCCTATTTTTTCACTATAGTTACAATAGTTATTAATTAAATACCTTATTTTTAATTTTACAAAGAAAACATTCCAATTTACGCTATATTAAGTTTTACAAATTATTTTATTGAATGAATTTTTATTAAGTTCAATTTATTTTTAATCAATAATAGAAATTAGAATAAACTAAAACATATTAATTAGTACTGCAGTCTTATGTCTATCTGGGATTTTTCATTAGAGGAAATACTGGATCCCAAACTGGTGGTACGGAGTAAAACCATCTTCCCTGTTGAAATTAGGATGTTTTTTAATTTCAATGGCCTCTCGCAGCATCCTGGGTAGATAACGGACTTCTTTTGCAAGGACCTGGGGTTTGTCAAACTTCATTGAATGTGTAGGTTTATCCATGACATGCTTGCAGACTGCAGACTTGTTTACGCGACGTTGTTTGACATCAGCTATATGTTCTTTGACGCAGGTACAAATACTAGTTTGTCCAATATAAGAGAGGCCGCACTCACAGTCAAGCTTGTAAACTCCTGCATCCTGTAAGGGGATGTTACATTTCACAGGTCTCAGGAACTGAGAAATCTTCCTCAGGGGCTTGAAATAGGTCTTGATAGATGCGCGCCTGAGGACTCTTCCGATCTTGTCTGTAACACCTCTCACGTAAGGTAAGATGGCAGGTCTTCGCTCGACTGTTGGTGGTTTCACACAGTGCCTGTGGCATTGGCGTGGAATCTTCAACTTATTCGCATGTAAGACTTGCTTTATATGTTGAAGTTTCGTTCAACGTACCGTTTGAAAATCTTCGACCTAGCTGGGGCCATGGGTTAAACTCGCTCCTCGAAGTCTTCCATGAAAATATCGGCAACAACGGGAGACACCGGGGAGCCCATTGCTATACCGTCAATTTGTAGGTAGAATTCATTATTCCACAATAGATAGCCTAATTGTAAAAAGATAGCAGGGGAACTTCAATATATAAAGCAAGTCCTACATGCGAATAAGTTGAAGATTCCACGCCAATGATGTACTTGTGATTTTGTGTTTGTGGTTTTTATGCAGACACACCACTTACATACGTAATTCTGAGCTCTCGCTAATATCACTATACTTCTTGTCAAAACTTGATTTATATTTGTATTACAAAGCATAGTTAGTGATTTTTGTATTATGTATTGGAGTATAACTGTTGTGGACGTGACGAATACGAACTGAGGTGACAATCCAATTAATAAACTTCAAAATAACACTGGTGTAACAGACTGATAACGAGCACCTATTAATCACTGTTAAAAACATCCCTTAACGGTGATATCTCGATGACTGTGCCAGGAGCGGTATTCTGTAATCGCTATCGTTATGATTCGGTATGGCTCTGATAGCGAAAGTCGTCGGTTGTCGTATCGACAACTTACCGATTATGTTATTCTGTAACTCCACGATAGCGAAAATCGTTACTGCAACCGACAGCGATGTGACGTCAGCGTTTCATTATCGAAAAATATACGAAATGGGAACATCCCAACGGGAGACTATGTTTCTCGACCAATCACGATCGAGCGTTCAAATAGTCATTTACAAACACTCTTAACTATGGTTATTTAGTTTGTGCAAAGTTTGTTACATTCACTGTTTGTGTTTATTTTTTCTGAATACTTTTGCAAAATGACGGATAAAATAATACATCACGACAAGTAAGCAAATTGGAGTTCTGTAAATATTTACTTTATTTTTTTCCATCCTCTAAGATAAATATCTGATGAGATGGAATTTACTAGGGAAACGTCGCTCACCTTAACCTCTACAATCGCGGCATCACGACATAAACAACCCTTTCAATTACGAAACATTTTGACTTACCTTAAGGCAAAAAGTGATTTTATTCCACTTAATGCTATCAAAACACAAATATCTAACAGTGAAATGTAAGAAGAATTCGCGTCGTTAAGCATACCGACGTAAACAGGGCGCCCTCGAAGAGCCGATAAAAATATCGAATCTTAACGAAACTCAATGAACGTATCGAACCGAATTGTCGTTATGATCGGTTAAAGTAGTGTACAGAATAGCATTTGCCGACAAAATCGATACCGTCGGTAAAACCGCATAACGAATATCGAATAGCGAGTCTCAACGATTACAGAATACCGCTCCAGAGGATCTACTCTCGTTCTCCATCCGAAACAATTACTGTCAAATAACTATAATTATAACTCGACCAAATTAAAAATCAATATCAAATATGGAACTTCATTCGCTTCATACGTCTTTTACTTTGGTCGAGTATTACTTATTTGACAGTAATTGTAGGGGGTCGATTTAGAACCTTACGATAACTCATTTGTCGACCGATTCGATTTGATATCGTACGATTTCTCTTCATTTTTATTCACAACACCCGAATCGAAAGTTCAACTGTCGTATTCGAAACCGAACCGAAATGACGTCACACCGATTACTCGGCCTTCTCGACCGGCAAAGGCTGCAGACTTTATTCAGTACACAGTTATCGAATGAAAGTTACCGAACGTCCTATCGTCTACAAAGCGAGAAAGTAATATGGAAATTTCTTATTATTTTAAATAAAGCCTGGATTTTGTTCAATTTTATTAATTTATTTTAATGCAAGACAAATGCATTCCTATATTCTAGGCCATTAATGACTTAAATATAAGAAGATTTAAATTTTTCTTACAATCTATTTCACCGACTAACTTTGTAAACGCTGTTGAATAACGATATCGATATCCGAATCCGAATCGAACGTTTAACTCTAATGTTCTGAATAGCTCGGAAAGCGCCCTTCGATTCTAGAACGATATCCAATCGAAGAGTTCTGAATTGAGGTCCTGGATTGAATGCTTTTGATTTTTATTTTGACAGTTTTATAAAGGCCCCCATACACCAAAGATTTCTCGTTTCGATCGATCGTCACGATAATCGTATCAATACAACGCTACTCCCTTGGCATTCAAGTTAATCGTTAACGATTAACGTAATCGATTCGTCATTTCGATCAATCTGAAACGATGGATTGTGAAGATAAATCGTCCCGTTTATGGGGGAGTCAGTATGTATGTATGTTCACAATGGTAACAATTTACACTATCGCCTTCGCCGCTCACCTGTATCTGGCTATACCGAGACGAGAGTCTATTCACACGTTCGCATGTATACACTTCCATGTTAACCTGCAACTGATAAAGTTTACGTTCTTGCTCACCTACATATTTGCAAGGATCGACACCTTAAATTTGTAAACACGATGAACTAGAGTTTCGACGAATGTTTGATTACTATTCGGTATTCGGTTTATTTGACTTACTTTTAGTTATTCGACCGAATATTGAATACTTAGAAACAGGAGAAAGAAATAAGAAAAAACACAGTAAATTACCATGTAAATTTTATTGATGTTGACACACATTGTAAGTTCACGAAAGTGTAATTTTTCTCTACTTAACCAATAAGATCAAAGGAAATATGGTTACCAAATGAT